TTACCAACATTAGTTTTGGGTGGTGGTCCCAAAACTGCTTTAAGTCATAGCCAGCTCGTAGCAGTTTGTCATTGTCATGAACCTATTGGCTCCCCGATGGCTATATACCCTGCTATTGGCTACTCCGATAATAGTTATTGAAGAAAAGCTGTTAAGCCCATCTCTAATTTGAACACAGTGGTCATCGGAGGTTATGGTGAAGCGGGACTCATCACTGAACACGATGCGATGCCATTCGTCCTCTGTCCGTGCCTCCCGGACACGGCACAGCACCAATCCAAACAACGACATTGGTGTTCTGGGGTCAATGGCAACCGACGTTTGGGGTGATGGGACCTAATCCGGCAGATGCGAGACTTGGAGCCTCTGTGCGCGAACCAATGGGCTAGAATATACTACATAGAGTGGCTGACCTTATGGTTTTAGCGCTCTTGGTGGACGCTTGTCGAACTAGGGACTGTCATGTTTTTTGTAGTCAAATCATGGGAGATGACATATGGTGGCGTATAGGACTATTGTACTGAGACGACGTGTTCTTTGTATCACGTCAAATTACTATATTGTGGTCTTTTCGTTTATTTGTATTTAAATTATATTAGTGGTTAGAATAATGATATTCACAATACCTTCAGTATGTTCTATATATAATTGTAAAGATAGACGTCATCAAACCACAACTATACCATTATCAAGTTTGCCGCCTTATTTGCGATCTATTTGTTTGCGTCTTATTGCAGTGACATTCACGCTCAGATGTTATGCTAACTACAATAACATTTCAAAAGTTTCCATTCCTATGACACAAACCGATGCAGGAAGCTATGTGTTTTTAAAGTTTCTCAATTCCTTTTCCTTACATATTGTGGCTTCGTTTTTAAATGATTGGTTTTGTCGTGAAAAACAGAGTAAGAGGATTTTTATTAGGAGCGCCCTGCGTCCACCCGGCCAACCAGTGCCAAACGGAATACTAGAATACTCTGTTTCTCCAGAGGGCGCTGCCTTGACTACAAAAAATATGGCTTGAATTTGCTGCAAAGACAGACGCTTCAACCACTCGTATTTTCTATAGCGCGTCTGAGGTTAAGAATGAAGTACAGGACCTTATGGGCTCATCCAGTTATTCAAGTGGCAACAATTTTAATCCAATATTTCATCTGTAAAAATAAATTTAGATGATACAAATTGACAATTATTCTCAGTAAATAATAAATTTTATAATCCTGTACAAATCATCCTCCTCATTAACATGAAAACTTGCTTCTGAATATGCTCAATTAAAAATTCACATTCAAGTTGAAGTCCTTGTTGTATATAATAATGTAGTTTTGAACCATCTACTTAACAAATGCTATTAAATATATTTACAAAATATATTCAAATGAACATTTTGTGCTGGACCTTTCCACAATATGAAGATAAGATTT